CAACGACGAGTCGAGGTATTGCATTCGTGATCCGGAAGATCGGAGCTGGTTGTCTTTTCCCTAGTCCTGCGTTATTTAACTCCCCGTCGCGTGTACACCTTTTTGGGGCATTGTGTTTGTAATAAATGTTTTGAACAAACAAAGTTGTGAATATTGAGTAATCTAACCACGACGATGTTGCTCATTGCTAGTACAGTACTTGTGATGATGACGATGACAGTGAATGTTATTGTGATGATATCATGGCGGTAATTATCATTGCAATGGTAATGGATAAAGTTATTATTACAATGATGAATATTGTAATGTAAAATTGTATTATGAATATTATAACGACGATGCCGAATATTGTAATGATGATCGTGATGATGATGACGCTTGCCATTATGAATTATTGATGTTTTGTTGAGTTTGTGTTATTATATTTTTTAATTTGTATACTTTTTTTAGCCATTTGTAAAATGTGAATTTTAAATATTTCGAGAGAGAGCATAGGCGATCAATGTACCGAGGCTTTTTTTGCGATATTGCAGTTAAATATGATGTTTCTTTGTTTGTTTCATGACATTATATATATATATAAAATAACAAAGTGTAATAATAATAAAAAATCACAATAAAAACAAGAACAAACACGGCCTAATTTATTTACCCAATAAATACTCGCCGAGTCGCCTTGTCAAGGCGGGTCGTGCTGTTGCTGCCACTCCGCTGGGATGTTGGGGCTGGGTCCCAGAGTGGTTACTCGTCTTGAATCAAAGCCTCTCAAAAATGTACGCACACTCGCACAGATGGAAATTGGTAAGAAATACGTAGATTTTTTTTTCACGTACAGAGACGTGGATTTCATTATGGGAGGAGCAGGACCTGTTCACACACTCTTCACTGTTATTGGTGGCGAACGGGAGGGAAATCGACCTCGGGTCGCCGGGTTCGTAGCGCGGTGCCCTGACCACTGCGCCACGGCTCCCCGCTAAAACATCAATACAAAGATCCCCCGTATAGCCTTTAACAGGCTGCTTGGGGCAAGTGCTGTTAGCGAACACCCAATGAAAGCCACCGGCACGGCACACGAAGGGGTGGGTGGCCAACACCACGCCCGGCCGTCTTTGTCTCCCCCGTGACGATGTTTACACACCGCACCGGGAACTCATTTGAGGCTGAGTAAAACAAAACATGCACGCTTCTGAACAAGCAAAACGCTGAGGCGGTGTGAAGACTGTTGGGCTATAGCGCCATCTGGCGGTCAACTCTGGCAACTACCGTCACGAATTACAGCCTCTTGTTGTAAATCCACTGCAGGATGAAGGCATCCTCTTGCTCCGCAGATCGTCCGTGGGAGTTGTTTAACCTCGGCACGGGTGTTGACGGAGGGCGAGGGGAGCGACTGGGTCCTGATTCGGTTCGCGTTCGCCACTGATGGTAGCCGTGGCCGGGAATTTCAACTCTTTGGCAAGGCGATAACCACTCATGTGCCACCGCTCTCCATCTCTCTCTCGCTCGCTATCATCAAGATCAGTAGTAACAATCTATTTACACCAGGGGTCGGCAACCAACATGACAAGAAGAGCAGCTTTTTTTCGAATTCGAAAACAAAAACCTCAATCTTCTTGGTTCTTTCGGTAAAATCACGTAGAAGGGAAATAATAAAATAATAAAAATAAAACATAATAAAATTATTCTCACGACGTTTCGGCCACAACGCAAGTGAAGACCAGGTCCGTCGGGGAGACAGCGTCTCCCCGACGGACCTGGTCTTCACCTGAGGACGGCTGCTTGCGTTGTGGCCGAAACGTCGTGAGAATTATTTTATTATGTTTTATTTTTATTATTTTATTAATTCCCTTCTACGTGACTTTACCGAAAGAACCAAGAAGATGAATCCCTGCAGTCACGAAAGCTTTAAATCGAAGTAAAAACCTCAATATTTCAAGATCCGCAATGCAATGTGGTGAACGCGAGACGGCGGTCCCTTAATAAATCACGTCACAAAGCAGCAGTCCTTGAAGAGTGGCCTGAGGCGCCACAGCCTCAGGTTTGCTGAGCCCTGGGCTATGCAATCAATATTACTGGTAGGAACCTCCTGGTTACACCAGCCCACAGGGGATAATTGTGTCCGTCCGTCGTGCATCAAAAAAGGGGAGGGGTGGGGCTGGGTGGAGAGGGGAGGGTGGGGAAGGGCTGGGTGGGGAGGGTGGGGCTGGGTAGGGAGGGGCTGGTCACCCCGTGGTGCCCTTATAAAACTCAACGTTTAACCTACTCACGCCGGCTTGTGCCCGCCCTCACAGTCGGCCATATTTGCGGAATACACCACGCCGCCGTTGACCCTGGCCATTGACCGAGCAACCCAACGTTCCTACCAGCTCCCTCCGCATGAATGTGTTCTAAACCAGTGGCTCTTAAACCTGGGGTACATCTGCCAATATTCTAAACCAGTGGCTCACGCCTACCCTGGTGGTGCTAGACATGGCCAGATTTGTTCAGCAGGTAAATCATCGACACAAATTAAGCACGGCAACTTATGTGCAGCTAATTTGTTTAATCTGACCTATGTATTTGTTTACATTATTTATTTAACGATTGATAACCAAAGGGGTGCAAGGCTGCAGTACAGGTTAAGAACCACTGGTCTCTACAATCAATATTGATACAAATGATTGATAATCATCAGCATCGCCAATGACCAAATTATGATCATTATTAATCTTGTCTACTCAGGAGTCTCAAGATTAATTTCTAGGAGGGTCCTGACACGTTTTTGCAGTAGAGGGTGATGCTGCCGCTGCTGCTGTGCATGATACCAGTTGAGTGATTTGCAGTCATTATTCAACATTGGGATGGATGGTTCAATATCGGTTACACTGCGGGGTTGTTAGCCATGGGAGGAAAACGGAGAACCCTTTGAAAACCCATGCAGAACAAGGGGAGAACATACAATCTCCACTCACTCCTACTTTGCAGGGTAGGGGGATAACATACAAACTCCACTCAATCTTGATTTGAAGCTTTCGTGACTGCAGGAACTTTTTGGTTATTTCGGTAAAGTCACGTAGGGGAACTCCACTCACTCTCATTCTGCAGAACATGAGAGAACATACACATTTCGATTTAAAGCTTTCGTGACTGCAGGGATTCATCTTCTTGGTTCTTTCGGTAAAGTCACGTAGAATGGAAATATTAAAACAATAAAAATAAAACATAATACATTAATTCTCACGACGTTTCGGCCACAACGCAAGCAGCCATCCTCAGGTGAAGAACAGGTCTGTCGAGAAGACAGAGTCTGAAGTTTCAGACTGTCTTCTCGACAGACCTGTTCTGAAACTTCAGACTCTGTCTTCTCGATAGTCCTGTTCTTCACCTGAGGACGGCTGCTTGCGTTGTGGCCGAAACGTCGTGAGAATTATTTTATGTTTAATTTTTATTATTTTATTATTTCCATTCTACGTGACTTTACCGAAAGAGCCAAGAAGAAGAACATACACACTCCACTGACACGCTCAGGGAAATGGAACGCGTCCAGTAAGAGCGGACTTCCAGCGTGTGGATAATGGGGCGACCAAAACGAGATGGCGTGCAGCAAGTGAGGGTTGCTGGGCTAGACTCCACGAATCGCTGTTTCGTTCAAGTTCATTCATTAGGTAAAGCCCTGTGAGCCATTCGGCTCTTGAATCGGGTGCAACCGCAACAAACAAAAAACAAAAAAATGAACAAAAAACATCTTAAAGTGAATATGTGACTAAGTGCAAACAGAAAATCCAAGAAAAGACAGCAAAATATTGCAGAAAAAAGCACCGTACACCAACGCTGTGTGCAAAAATCCCAGTGGGATGCAAGTCAAACAACAACAACAACCACAAGACAACTTAGATTAAGGCCATCAGTCTAACTCTGTACTACAACAAACAAACATGGCTAAACCAATACACTTTTCGAAATCACCAAAATAAAGCCATGAAAGCAATGTAAAAGCAATCATAGGAACTGTGACGGAATTTTCACAATATATGGCATAAACAACATGTACTACCAAAACCCTGCAGCCATAGCTGGCTGCATGAGTCACTCCACAACAGCAGTAGCATCAATCGGAGTATTATAATTTTTCAATGCACCTTTAAGATCAGCACACTAAATCAAAACACAGGTCATACTTTGTAGCGATCATCCGGAGCGAAACATTTTATTTTCGGCCACTGCACAGCACTGACAGCTAGGGGTGTGAGAGGTAGCAGCGACCTTTGGTGGGAGGCCTTCATCATCCAGCAGTGGATTGAGCGTGGCCGAAGACGACCGCTCGTTTGTGTGCGAGAGGCATTTTTAGCTGCGCTATGAACCTGGCCACCCGGGTTCCGATTCCCGCTCACGGCCAACATCAGTGACGATCTTCTTGGTTCTTTCGGTAAAGTCACGTAGAAGGGAAATAATAAAATAATAAAAATAAAACATAATAAAATAATTCTCACGACGTTTCGGCCACAACGCAAGCAGCCGTCTTCACCCGAAAGAACCAAGAAGATGAATCCCTGCAGTCACCAAAGCTTTAAATCGAAATCAGTGACGATTATATTATCTGAACCGGTCCTGGGAGGACCTCCCCTGGGTCGACTCAGCCCCCAAATGAGCACCTGGTTCGGTGCGTAAACATCACCAGAGGGGAGACAAAGGCGGCCGGGCGTGGTGTTGGCCACCCCACCCCCTCCGTGTGCCGTGCCGGCCTTCACAGGTGCTCGCAAACAGCGTATGCCCCAACAAACCAGCCTACCGCAGAGGCTACACGAGGTGGATCTTTGTCCTCCGAGAGGCGTTTGGGCCACACATGGCAAACTGCGCCACCACGTGCTCAACTCGTGGCACCTGCAGCGGCGCAAAGCGCATCCGCTGCGCGTAGCAAAGAGGAAGTGACGATCGTAGATGGGGGTGGGTAGGGGAGGGCAGCATTGAGGGGGGTGGGGGGAGAATCAAGGGGGGGGGGTGTGGGGGGTTAGAGGAGAGATGTGGGGAGGAGGGATGGTTTAGCAAGGCCGCGTACTCCTCTCCACACACACACACATCCATGTATAGCTTGCTCGGCAACGACTTAGCAAGGCCTTTACCACCACCGCCATCATCACCATCATCACCACTATCATCACCACCACCACCACTATCATCACCACCACCATCAACCCCGTGGTCATGCGGCGAAAAGCCGTAGAGACCGCCGCTGCCGGGAGCTTGCTGTGGTTACTCGTGGCCGCTCTGATCCGCTCCGGTGTTCCGCAGAAAGGTACCGGCATCGATATATATCTATTGTGGGGAGGGCCGGGTTAGTATTGATCCTCGGTTTGGGATTCCAGAGTATTTAACCTGGCAGGGTTGGTCTCTTTCTCTGTGTTGTTGTTGTTGTGTAGCTATTGCTGGTGGTGGTGGTGAGTGTTGGGGAGAGGCAGGAGCTGTGGTGGTGAGGGTGGTGGTGAGTGTTGGGGAGATGTAGTAGCTACTGGTGGTGAGGGTGGTGGTGAGTGTTGGGGAGACGTAGTAGCTACTGGTGGTGCGGGTGGTGGTGAGTGTTGGGGAGATGTAGTAGCTACTGGTGGTGAGGGTGGTGGTGAGTGTTGGGGAGATGTAGGAGCCACTGGTGGTGAGTGTTGGGGAGACGTAGTAGCTACTGGTGGTGAGGGTGGTGGTGAGTGTTGGGGAGATGTAGTAGCTGGTGGTGGTGAGGGTGGTGGTGAGTGTTGGGGAGAGGCAGGAGCTGGTGTGGTGAGGGTGGTGGTGAGTGTTGGGGAGAGGCAGGAGCTGTGGTGGTGAGGGTGGTGGTGAGTGTTGGGGAGATGTAGTAGCTACTGGTGGTGAGGGTGGTGGTGAGTGTTGGGGAGACGTAGTAGCTACTGGTGGTGAGGGTGGTGGTGAGTGTTGGGGAGATGTAGTAGCTACTGGTGGTGAGGGTGGTGGTGAGTGTTGGGGAGATGTAGGAGCCACTGGTGGTGAGTGTTGGGGAGACGTAGGAGCCACTGGTGGTGAGGGTGGTGGTGAGTGTTGGGGAGATGTAGGAGCCACTGGTGGTGAGGGTGGTGGTGAGTGTTGGGGAGACGTAGTAGCTACTGGTGGTGAGGGTGGTGGTGAGTGTTGGGGAGATGTAGTAGCTGGTGGTGGTGAGGGTGGTGGTGAGTGTTGGGGAGAGGCAGGAGCTGGTGTGGTGAGGGTGGTGGTGAGTGTTGGGGAGAGGCAGGAGCTGTGGTGGTGAGGGTGGTGGTGAGTGTTGGGGAGATGTAGTAGCTACTGGTGGTGAGGGTGGTGGTGAGTGTTGGGGAGACGTAGTAGCTACTGGTGGTGAGGGTGGTGGTGAGTGTTGGGGAGATGTAGTAGCTACTGGTGGTGAGGGTGGTGGTGAGTGTTGGGGAGATGTAGGAGCCACTGGTGGTGAGGGTGGTGGTGAGTGTTGGGGAGACGTAGTAGCTACTGGTGGTGAGGGTGGTGGTGAGTGTTGGGGAGATGTAGTAGCTGGTGGTGGTGAGGGTGGTGGTGAGTGTTGGGGAGAGGCAGGAGCTGGTGTGGTGAGGGTGGTGGTGAGTGTTGGGGAGAGGCAGGAGCTGGTGTGGTGAAGGTGGTGGTGAGTGTTGGGGAGACGCAGGAGCTGCTGGTGGTGAGGGTGGTGGTGAGTGTTGGGGAGACGTAGGAGCTAATGGTGGTGAGGGTGGTGGTGAGTGTTGGGGAGACGTAGTAGCTGGTGTGGTGAGGGTGGTGGTGAGTGTTGGGGAGACGCAGGAGCTGCTGGTGGTGAGGGTGGTGGTGAGTGTTGGGGAGACGTAGTAGCTACTGGTGAGGGTGGTGGTGAGTGTTGGGGAGACGTAGTAGCTACTGGTGGTGAGGGTGGTGGTGAGTGTTGGGGAGACGTAGTAGCTGGTGGTGGTGAGGGTGGTGGTGAGTGTTGGGGAGATGTAGTAGCTGGTGGTGGTGAGGGTGGTGGTGAGTGTTGGGGAGACGTAGTAGCTGGTGGTGGTGAGGGTGGTGGTGAGTGTTGGGGAGATGTAGTAGCTGGTGGTGGTGAGGGTGGTGGTGAGTGTTGGGGAGATGCAGGAGCTGCTGGTGGTGAGGGTGGTGGTGAGTGTTGGGGAGATGTAGGAGCTGCTGGTGGTGAGGGTGGTGGTGAGTGTTGGGGAGATGTAGTAGCTGCTGGTGGTGAGGGTGGTGGTGAGTGTTGGGGAGATGTAGGAGCCACTGGTGGTGAGGGTGGTGGTGAGTGTTGGGGAGACGTAGTAGCTACTGGTGGTGAGGGTGGTGGTGAGTGTTGGGGAGACGTAGTAGCTGGTGGTGGTGAGGGTGGTGGTGAGTGTTGGGGAGATGTAGTAGCTGCTGGTGGTGAGGGTGGTGGTGAGTGTTGGGGAGACGTAGTAGCTGCTGGTGGTGAGGGTGGTGGTGAGTGTTGGGGAGATGCAGGAGCTGCTGGTGGTGAGGGTGGTGGTGAGTGTTGGGGAGATGTAGGAGCTGCTGGTGGTGAGGGTGGTGGTGAGTGTTGGGGAGATGTAGTAGCTGCTGGTGGTGAGGGTGGTGGTGAGTGTGGGGGAGACGTAGTAGCCACTGGTGGTGAGGGTGGTGGTGAGTGTTGGGGAGATGTAGTAGCTGCTGGTGGTGAGGGTGGTGGTGAGTGTTGGGGAGACGTAGTAGCTGCTGGTGGTGGTGAGGGTGGTGGTGAGTGTGGGGGAGACGTAGTAGCTACTGGTGGTGAGGGTGGTGGTGAGTGTTGGGGAGATGTAGTAGCTGCTGGTGGTGAGGGTGGTGGTGAGTGTTGGGGAGACGTAGTAGCTACTGGTGGTGAGGGTGGTGGTGAGTGTTGGGGAGATGCAGGAGCTGCTGGTGGTGAGGGTGGTGGTGAGTGTTGGGGAGATGTAGGAGCTGCTGGTGGTGAGGGTGGTGGTGAGTGTTGGGGAGATGTAGTAGCTGCTGGTGGTGAGGGTGGTGGTGAGTGTTGGGGAGATGTAGGAGCCACTGGTGGTGAGGGTGGTGGTGAGTGTTGGGGAGACGTAGTAGCTACTGGTGGTGAGGGTGGTGGTGAGTGTTGGGGAGACGTAGTAGCTGGTGGTGGTGAGGGTGGTGGTGAGTGTTGGGGAGATGCAGGAGCTACTGGTGGTGAGGGTGGTGGTGAGTGTTGGGGAGACGTAGTAGCTGGTGGTGGTGAGGGTGGTGGTGAGTGTTGGGGAGACGTAGTAGCTGCTGGTGGTGAGGGTGGTGGTGAGTGTTGGGGAGATGTAGTAGCTGCTGGTGGTGGTGAGGGTGGTGGTGAGTGTTGGGGAGACGCAGTAGCTACTGGTGGTGAGGGTGGTGGTGAGTGTTGGGGAGACGTAGTAGCTACTGGTGGTGAGGGTGGTGGTGAGTGTTGGGGAGACGTAGTAGCTACTGGTGGTGAGGGTGGTGGTGAGTGTTGGGGAGATGTAGTAGCTACTGGTGGTGAGGGTGGTGGTGAGTGTTGGGGAGACGTAGAAGCTACTGGTGGTGAGGGTGGTGGTGAGTGTTGGGGAGACGTAGGAGCTGCTGGTGGTGAGGGTGGTGGTGAGTGTTGGGGAGATGCAGGAGCTACTGCTGGTGAGGGTGGTGGTGAGTGTTGGGGAGACGTAGGAGCTACTGGTGGTGAGGGTGGTGGTGAGTGTTGGGGAGACGTAGGAGCTACTGGTGGTGAGGGTGGTGGTGAGTGTTGGGGAGACTTAGGAGCTGCTGGTGGTGAGGGTGGTGGTGAATGTTGGGGAGATGCAGGAGCTACTGCTGGTGAGGGTGGTGGTGAGTGTTGGGGAGACGTAGTAGCCACTGGTGGTGAGGGTGGTGGTGAATGTTGGGGAGATGCAGGAGCTACTGCTGGTGAGGGTGGTGGTGAGTGTTGGGGAGACGTAGTAGCCACTGGTGGTGAGGGTGGTGGTGAGTGTTGGGGAGACGTAGTAGCTGCTGGTGGTGAGGGTGGTGGTGAGTGTTGGGGAGACGCAGGAGCTACTGGTGGTGATGGTGGTGGTGAGTGTTGGGGAGACGTAGTAGCTGGTGGTGGTGAGGGTGGTGGTGAGTGTTGGAGAGATGTAGGAGCCACTGGTGGTGCTGGTTACAACACGGCCGCCGCGGTGGGGGTGAATTGTGCTGGGATAGAGGCCTAGTCGGATTTCATGCCGTGTGGGTGAATGGTTGTGTGGGTGAATGGTTGTGTGGGTTGTGTTGTGTGGTTGGGTGAGTGGTTGTGTGGGTGAATGGTTGTGTGGGTGATTGTGTGGATGGATGGTTGTGTTGTGTGGTTGGGTGAGTGGTTGGGTGAGTGGTTGTGTGGGTGATTGTGTGGATGGGTGGTTGTGTTGTGTGGCTGGGTGAGTGGTTGTGTGGATGCGTGGGTGAGTGAGTGGTAGTCTGGATGGGTCAGTAGGTGAGTGGTTGTGTATGTGGATTGATAGGTGAGTGGATAGGTGGGTGAGTTTGAAGGGTTGTTGGGTGGTTGAGTGGCTGTGCGGTTGGGTGCTGATTGTATAGGTGGGTTATTGGCAGTATTTTGGTAGGCGAGTGGGTAAGTTCATGAATGGGTGAGTGAGGGAGCGAGTGAGTGAATGGGTGAGTGAATGGGTGGGTGAGTAGGTTAATGGGTGAGTGAATGAATGGGTGAGTGAGGGAGCGAGTGGGTGAATGGGTGAGTGAATGGGTGGGTGAGTAGGTTAATGGGTGAGTGAATGAATGGGTGAGTGAGGGAGCGAGTGGGTGAATGGGTGAGTGAATGGGTGGGTGAGTAGGTTAATGGGTGAGTGAATGAATGGGTGAGTGAGGGAGCGAGTGGGTGAATGGGTGAGTGAATGGGTGGGTGAGTAGGTTAATGGGTGAGTGAGTGGGTGGGTGAGTAGGTGAATGGTTGAGTGAGTGGGTAGGTGAGTAGGTGAATGGTTGAGTTAGTTGGTGGGTGAGTAGGTGAATGGGTGAGAGAGTGGGTGGGTGGGTGAGTAGGTGAATGGGTGAGTGGGTGGGTGAGTAGGTGAATGGGTGAGTGAGTGGGTGGGTATGTGAATGGGTGAGTGAGTGGGTGGGTCAGTAGGTGAATGGGTGAGTGAGTGGGTGGGTGAGTAGGTTAATGGGTGAGTGAGTGGGTGGGTGAGTAGGTGAATGGTTGAGTGAGTGGGTAGGTGAGTAGGTGAATGGTTAAGTGAGTTGGTGGGTGAGTAAGTGAATGGGTGAGAGAGTGGGTGGGTGGGTGAGTAGGTGAATGGGTGAGTGGGTGGGTGAGTAGGTGAATGGGTGAGTGAGTGGGTGGGTATGTGAATGGGTGAGTGAGTGGGTGGGTCAGTAGGTGAATGGGTGAGTGAGTGGGTGGGTGAGTAGGTGAATGGGTGAGCGAGTGGGTGGGTGAGTAGGTGAATGGTTGAGTGAGTGGGTAGGTGAGTAGGTGAATGGTTAAGTGAGTTGGTGGGTGAGTAGGTGAATGGGTGAGAGAGTGGGTGGGTGGGTGAGTAGGTGAATGGGTGAGTGGGTGGGTGAGTAGGTGAATGGGTGAGTGAGTGGGTGGGTATGTGAATGGGTGAGTGAGTGGGTGGGTCAGTAGGTGAATGGGTGAGTGAGTGGGTGGGTGAGTAGGTGAATGGGTGAGCGAGTGGGTGGGTGAGTAGGTGAATGGGTGAGTGAGTGGGTGTTGTGAGTAGGTTAATAGGTGAGTGGGTGGGTGAGTAGGTGAATGGGTGAGTGAGTGGGTGGGTGAGTAGGTGAATGGGTGAGTGAGTGGGTGTTGTGAGTAGGTTAATGGGTGAGTGAGTGGGTAGGTGAGTAGGTGAGTGGGTGGGTGAGTCAGTGAATGGGTGAGTGAGTGGGTGGGTGAGTAGGTGAATGTGTGAGTGAGTGGGTGGGTGAGTAGGTGAATGGGTGAGCGAGTGGGTGGGTGAGTAGGTGAATGGGTGAGTGACTGGGTGGGTGAGTAGGTTAGTGGGTGAGTGAGTGGGTGGGTGAGTAGGTGAATGGGTGAGTGAGTGAGTGGGTGGGTGAATGGGTGAGTGAGTGGGTGAGTATGTGAAGGGGAGCGGGAGTCTGGGGTAACTCAATATGATGGTCGGTGGATGAGTAATTCTTTGGATATCCCGATGATTCGATGTGCACCACTTGTGCTCTCTATGTGTAGGTTGGCGTATGGATGAGTCACTGCGCGGACGTGTTGTGTCTGTGGCGAGTGAGTGGGTGGCTGAGTGGGCCGACGGTTAGCCCGAAACACCTCGCTCTGTCGCTTGATCTGCCAGACATCGGCGGTGTGGATGAGATTGTGAGCGAGTTGACGAGGCGGTTTGAGCGGGTGGAGATGAGTTGGTGAGTGTGCGAGTGAGTTGGTAAGTGACCAAATCTGCACAATGCTGTCAGATCTCGGCAGCAAAGCAAAGCCGAGCCTGGACATTACTCGGAAGGGGCTGTCACATTCGTGCATACCAGGTGCTATAGGCTGCTGCGGGGCTGCGTTGAGGGCAGCAGAGGGCAGTGCATAAAAAAACTCTACCAGTCACTATTAATCTCGAACAGCTGTGCTTCCCCACCACCACCAGGACCAGCGCGGTGAAGTACGGTCAAACAACCCCCACGCGAACCTACAGCGGGCTGACGAACGGGGCCGACAGGGTCCCTGAGGTTCGCGGTTCGAATCCAGCGGCTGCCCACGAGCGTAATAGTGCGGCGGTATTAACCGTCGAAAAAAAAAAGTTACTCTACCAGGCACCTTCACGCCTCTCGCAGTTGACATTAAAGATCTCGTGACGTCGTCGGAATGGGTAGGGCAGGGCCCCATCGTGCGCCAATGTCGAGGTCCAAATTCAGCAAGTAAAAACTAAAATTAATGTTATTTTATGATAATAATGTTATTTGATGTGCAGCGTTGTGGGATGCAATTGCATCCCACAACTTTGCACATCAATTGGCCAGTCCCGTGCACAGATGATACAAACTCAAAACCCACACTTACTTAGTCAAACACTAAAAATATGAATATACGAATAACGAGAGAGAGAGAAAAGTGCACATGACAATACAATGATCATCACAGAGAAAAGTCCGAAAGATCTCACCGCAAATTTACTCGATTGGGATATACCGTACTGTACTGCACTGTACATATCAATCCATTGCCTTCCCCCCCGATTGGCAAAACACTGCGCAGTACCCCCCTGGGTAAACAAACGGAATCATCACAACAACAACAATGAACCATCTCAGATTCCCCGACCACGTGGCCATCGTGGCAGAGAGTAGAGGACAGAGTATAAACTACAACGATCGACTCATTTTTACTTTACAAGGAAAGGCCCACTGAGCAATGCTGCTCTTTTTCAGAAGCGACACAAATGATAGCTCAGCGAAGTGGCTTTTGATCACGTGGAAATTTATCGCAGCCAAATACTCTTAAATCCAAGAATGTTGATTCTAAATGTGGAGGGAAAAACTGGAGGAGAACCCAGAGAAAAATCCAGGAGAGAGAAAGAGGCACGCAAACACCAAATATACAGCAGCAGGCGTCAGGGTCAAAATCGAACCCACGACCTCCTGCATACCAGGCGAGGCAGTTAACATCTCCTAGCCACCGTACGGGTGGTGGGCGGTGGTGGCCATGCTGCTGCACCGTGGCAGCCTGTAGCCCAGCGCTGTGGAGGCAGCAGCAATGGTTGGTGGATCGCGCGCAGATTGCTCTGAGCTATAGCTTCACGAGGCCAAGAAGCCTTCGCGGCCAACTCAGTGCGCCCGTATCCCCGTGCCGGCGAGCGTCGGCACAGGACCCTCTTGGCAAGAGACTCTTGAGACCTCGGTGTGTTAGAGTGCGTGTGCCCGCTGCTTGCGACGTCGCTCGTTAAAGTGAAAGCGATGCGACGCTGCGGGTGGCTAATTGAGCGAGCCGAGTTCTCAATTTCGTCCTTAATTCGGACGGCAAATTAGATTTTACGCGAGAGAGACACCCGGCGTCTGGAGGCGGAGGGTCGATGCGCCCGGCGTCGCGTCACCGCCACGGACGGCTGCACGGCAGCGGCCGGCCACCGTGGCGGTTTAACGGTCAGCGGCAAGCGTACCAGGCTCGCGACCCACAGGTCACCGGTTCGATTCTGTCTCACCGCGATGGCGGGCGGTTGAAATGGTGGTGCAGGTTTCTTAAATCTTCCACCAAGCTAAGCTGAGCTAAACTGAAACAGTTTTATTTTACCAGGTAAGGCCCCACTGAGATATCTACTGTAGCTCTTTTTTCAGAAGCGAACTGGGCTCAAATAGCTCAGAGAAGTGGGTTATCACGTGGAAATGTAAGGCAGCCAAATACTCTGAACGCACGTTGATTCGAAATGTGGAGGGAAAAACTGGAGGACCCGGAGAAAAATCCAAGCGAACACGTAAACTCCAAATATACAGGTATCAGGGGTTGGGATCTAACTCACGACCTCCTGCATACCAGGCGAGGTAGGTAACATCTCACCACCGTGGCACCCTCCCTCCATGCTCACTCCGCCTTCCTCCACCCAGCGGTGTAAATGTTGGTCGGTGATCAGCTGGCAAGTAGCCTGAAGTGGGACAATGTGTGTGTCTCTGGCTGGCTGGCGTGGAAGAGTAGGCCAAATACCCGTACGGGCAGCGGTGGTGTCGTGGTTAGCGTGCTTCCGATATGATACTCAGCGACGAAAGTTCGATTCCCACTCATCACCGGTAACACTGGTGATTATTTGAACCAGTCCTGGGCCTCCTCGAGGTCGACTGAACCTCAAATGAGTGCCTGGCGCATTGTGTAAACATTTTCACTGGGGAGACGAAGGCGGCCTGGTGTGGTGTTGGCCACCCCCACACCATCGTGTGCCATGCCGGCCCTCATAGGTGCTACTCGCAAACAGCACTTGCCCCAACATTTTGTTAAGGCTATAGGGAGGGTTCTTTGTCTTTGTGTGTGAGTGTGTGTGTCTTTGTGTGCATGTGTTTGTGTGTATATAGGTTCTCGCTAACAGCACTTGCCCCAACAGTTGGTTTCGGCTGAGGCTGGGGGGGGGGGGTGCGTCTGGGAGGGAGATTTGTTTTTTACATAAACATCAGCAATGGGGAAACAAAGGCGGCTGGGCGTGGTGTGTGTGTGTGTGTTGCGTGTGTGGTGCGTGCGTGCGCAGGTGATGGGTGCGGCCACTCGGTGCTGGGGGCGCTCAGCGGGACGCTCTCCTCGCTCGGCTACCCGGCCGCGTCCCCGGCAAACGCCGTCTGCGTCTGGGCGCTCCGTGTGCCACCCGGCCGGCGTATCCGCCTCCGCTTCGCCGACTTGCAGGTTGCGACCACCCCCTCCCCACCCCCACCCCACGTATCGTGTTAAAAAACTACAGTGGGGTCGAAGGTTGTCAGAAAAAAATGGCGGGGTCAGAGGTCGTAGGTGAAGTCCGTGGGGTCGGAGGTCACGTGAAAAAACCAGTTGGGTCGGAGGACACCTGAAAAATTCACAGGTTCACAGGTGATGGATAAATATGTGGGGTCAGATGTCACAGGATTAATATATGTTCCGAGATTCAGCTCTGGACAGGACCCACCCTGCAACTTACAGACGTCTCAGAACGGGAAAGGTTGAAGTGGTTTTTTTTACGTAAAAAGTGTATTAATTCAACTTGCAAGTTCTATCCTCGGTTCTTGTCTGCATCTATCGTCTGTATCGTCTGCATCTATCCCGCTTAGGTTCTGGCGCCAGAACCCTTCCACTGCCAAGAAAACCACGTCAAGATCTACAGCGGCATCTCCAACTGGTCCGAGATGGGTGAGAGACAAAACTCGTCGTTACATCGGTGCTAACGAAGCGGCGCGGTGATTCTGGTGGTGTTGGTGGCGGTGGCAGCGGTGGCAGTGGCGGCGGTGGTGGTTGCTACGCCGCTGCACGTGGCTGCCTGTAATCCAGCGCTGCAGAGGCAGCGGCAATAGCGGCGGCAGTAGCAAGGGTTGGCGGATGGCGTGAATCTTGAGAATTTCCCATTGCAGTCGAGGAGGGGCCGTGCCCTGGCTCGCCAGGAGAAAGCGACACAGCAAACGTTAAGACTACACCCGTCCCTTGCCCTCCTCCCTCGTACGCCTGGGTTTCCTCCGGGTGCCCTGGCTTCCTGCCACATGCAGCACTCACTGATAGCACCTTCATGTGTCGAGGATCACAGAGCGTCGGCGATTGTTGACGCCGCTGGCTCCTCACCGCCACTCCGTTGAGCCGTCGTTTGCTGCCAAGTTGCTTCTGAAAACGAAAGTGATAGCTGAGTGGGCTTTACCTGGTAAGATGGAAAGTAGTTTAGTTGTATTCGTATATTATTTGTGATTTGTTGACCTTTCCAATACTTTGCACTGCTATCGTGTTTCTGTTATGTTTGTTGTAACGTTCTGACCCACCCCTACTGGACATCTGCAGTATAAATAAATATCCTGGCGCTTATCTCTTCGAGAGCGAGTGAACGGCACTTACCCCAACAGTCTGTTCAAGGCTGCACAGGGAATCTTTGCCTTTTGTGTGTGTGCGTGTGCGCGCTTGCGTGCGTGCGTGCAGGCACGTTCTGCGGGGAGCTGGACAAGGTGAAGCAGGAGCTTGTGTCCGAGAGTAACGAGGTGACGATTCGATTCCAGAGCGGGTCCCACGAGCCCGGGCGAGGGTTCCTCCTCTCGTACGCCATCGACGACCATGCTGGTCAGTAACCTCGTCCACTCCTCATCGCTCAACACTCCACACAACTCATCGCTCACTACTCCACACAACTCATCGCTCAACCGCTCACTCATCTACGCATCTCATCGCTCACTACTCCACACAACTCATCGCTCACTCCTCTACACACCTCATCGCTCAACACTCCACACAACTCATCGCTCACTACTCCACACAACTCATCGCTCAACCGCTCACTCATCTACACATCTCATCGCTGAGCCGCTCATAGTGAATAACAATAAACAAGCCCCTCCCCCCCTCCTCCCCCCTTAACTTGTATTTAAGAACGTGTATCTTGGAATTTTTGCCTCACTTGATACAGTAAATCTAGCTGTGACGGTCCCACCTGATGACGGAGACTTCTGTTGCCTCCGAAACGCCGTGATTTATTATTTTATTTCTATTATTACTTCTATTAATTTAATTTTTTACCTACGTGACTTTACCGAAAAAACCTAAGAGTATGAATCCTTGCAGTCACGAAAGCTTCAAATCTATAAACAATAAACAAGTGAAATGCAAAACAATATTGGACGCCGTTGGGCTTCGGAGTTCGGGCTTGAGTCGGGTGAGTGTCAGTCCAGCAGTGTAGAGGACATGGCTGATGCCGATGATGATGAATTGACGACGAGTATCGTGTGCCATCGTCTACAGACCTCATCACGTGCCTGGAGAGCGGGGCAGACTTTGCGGACCACGAGTTCACGTGAGATATACAAACAAAGACAAAGGGTCCCCCGCGTGGCCCACGCAGGCTGTGCCTGGGGCCAAGTGCTGTTAGCGGACAGCACAACTAAAGGCTGGCATGGCCGCCTTTGTCTCCCCAGTGGTGATGTTTACACACGCAACACACACAGCCTCAAAAATTCGTACACAGACCCACACGCGTCCTGTGCTTGTGTCCATGTGTCTGACTTAACCGTGTTATGTGTGTCCACGTGTCTCCGTGTCCCCGCTGTGTTCGTCTGTCCCCACTGCGTGTCCCGTTGTCCCCTCTGTGTCCCCCGTGTATCCCATGCATCTTGGCGGTGCAGGAGGTTCTGTCCGGCCGGGTGCCTAACTCCGTTCGGCGACGTCTCCGGCACCATTCCCAACGGGTACCGTGACGTGAGTGACACCACAACACCAACACCACCACAACAACTGCCACAGCATGAGCGCCCTCACCACCAACAACCACGACAAGAACCACAATGCGTGTATGTATGTATGTGTGCGTACGTGCTGGGAGCGATAGTGTAGCGGTTAGCGCGCTTCGCTATGAACCCGGTGACACGGGTTCGATTCCCGCTCACGGCCAACACCAGTGACGATTATCTAAACCGGTCCCGGGCCTCCTCTAGGTCAACTCGGCCTCAATTGAGTACCTGGTGCGGTGTGTAAACATTTCCACTGGGGAGACAAAGGCGGTTGGGCGCGGTGCTGGCCACCCACCCCCTCGTGTACCGTTTCGGCTCGCTAACAGTGCTTGCCCCAACAGTCTGTCCAAGGCTATACGGGGGATCTTTGTCTTTGGCCTTCATAGGTGCTCGCTAACAGCACTTGCCCCTACAGTCTGTCAAGGTTATACGGGGGATCTTTGTCTTTATCTTTGTACGTGCTGGTGTGTGTACGTGTGCGCGTGTGTGTTCGTGCGCCAGTCTTCCCCGGTGTGCCGGGCGGCGGTGCACGCCGGCGTCATCGCGCCGGACCGTGGGGGTGTGGTGAGCGTCGTGCAGAGCAAGGGGCGAGAGTTTTACGAGAGCCGGCTTGCCAACAACGTCACCTCGCTCCAGTGAGACGCACGCCACGGACACGCGCACACATACGTGCGCACACACGCGCGCACACACACGCACACATACGCGCCCGCCCGCTCGCTCACACGTGTCCGCGTGTCCACTCCCTTTTGCGTGTCCGATAGGGGCAGCGACTCCCCCAACCTCTTCACATTCAAGACGACGGGTATGCAACGTCTCCGCCCACGTCGCGCCCCCACGCGCCTCGTGCTATCGGCCGTCGTGTCCAATCGTCGAGAACGCCGTCGCTGTGTTGAGTCGGCGCGTTACGATCATTATTTCTTCGTGTTATGCACGTGGAGCGACATGTCAGGTTTTTTTTCTTCTTGGTTCTTTCGGTAAAGTCACGTAGAAGGGAAGTAATAAAATAATTAAAATAAAACATAATAAAATAAAATAATATAATAAAATAATAAAATAAAATAATATACTAATATTTTATTATTTTTATTTTTATTATTTTATTACTTCCCTTCTACGTGACTTTACCGAAAGAACCAAGAAGATGAATCCCTGCAGTCACGAAAGCTTTAAATCGAAAAATGTCAGGTTTTCGTCGTACATTGGCTACCTTGTGTCTGTGTTAATTACCGTGTCGCTCGTGTTCCTTACGTTTGTGTTATCCTGCCCCTTGTCTGTGTTCCTTATCTTCACGTTGATCATTGCCCCTCCTTCCCTCCATCACTCCCATCCCACTCTCCCATCCTCCTCCCTAACCACCCCGGCAGGCTGCTACGGCAAGCTGGGCATGGAGTCGGGCACGATCCGCGACTCTCAGCTCTCGGCGTCGTCCGTGCTGGCGCAGGTCGGCAAGGACAGGGTGGCGACGGAGCTGCCCCTGTGGAGTGCGCGCCTGGGCGACGCCGGCCCCGCGTGGGTGGCGCGCCTCGACGACCCCCCCCACTGGCTCCAGATCGACCTCAACAAGGAGCGGCGCGTCACAGGTTCGGTGGCACTGTGTCGTGGCGCCCGTCGCGCAGAAACGCCGCCGCTCTGTCTCCCTGTCGCATTGTAGCATCATAGTGTCGTAGTGCTGTCGTACAGAAACAGCGTCATGCGGTCGCATTGTAGCACCTTCGCTCCATCACACGGTCATTCCGTCTGTAAAAGAATAAAACGAGGTGAATAAGAAGTGTGCGTGTCGCGCTGTGCGTGTCGTGTGTGCGTTTCGTGCGTGCGTGTCATTCAGGCATCGTGACGGCCGGCTCGGGGGGTCCTCCACAACCCTCCTACTTCGTCTCGGCCTACAAGGTGCAGTGGAGCCTGGACGGGGCCGCGTGGAGCACGTACAAGAACAACATCGGCGGCACCGAGAAGGTGGGCCGTCCTCTCGGCAACCCCCCTCACCCCCCCCTCTCACATCCCCAACCCCCCACCCCCCTCCTGATCCCCCCCCCCATCCCCCTAGCCGTCCCCAAAAATTTTTGAAATTGCCCGCAACACAACCGCCACTTCAATGAAGGTGGCCTGCAGTGGTCTGGGGGTTCACAATGGCCGTGTCAGAGACTCTTGAGACACATATTGGGCGTACCGAGAGGGTCTGCCTAATCCCCTCCTGCTCCCCCTTAATACCCCCTTGAACCCCCTCTTGATCCCCTGTGCTCCCCCTTTAACCCCCCCTGCCACCCCCCCCCCTCCGATTCCATTCTGCTCCGCCTGCATCCCCACGTCTGCCCACCTGCTGTACTGCGGGGGACCAGAGGTGACATCTCAGAAGCTGCCTCTGCGATATCCACTTCCTCTAACACAACCTGGTCGTGCCGCGCGCTGCAAGAGATTCGAACTGGGGGGGGGGACAGCGACCCCACCCAGAATTGAACCCCTTAACACCCCCCTCTCGTCCCCCCCCCACCGCCCCCCCCACACCGGCGTGTCTTCCCGTTGCCCACCGTCCAGCTATTCCAGGGTAACGTGGACAGCCTGAGCCCCGTGCGGAACAACTTTGTGCCGGCGCTGGTGACGCGTCTGGTGCGCGTCTGTCCCATCGCCTGGCACCAGAAGATCGCCATGAAGCTGGAGCTGCTGGGCTGCGAGCTCCCAACCACGGCGGCGGCTGTGGGGACACTACGACGTGAGCGCGCGCGTGTGTGTGTGTGTGCGCGTGTGTGTGTGTGCGCGTGTGTGTGTATATTGTGGGGATCGGTAGCGTAGCAGTTAGCCCCCACCCCCCCGTGTGCCGTGCTGGCCTTTAAAGGTGCTCGCTAACAGCACTTGCCCCTACAGTTTGTTAAGGTTATATGGGGGATCTTTGTCTTTGTATGTTTGTAGGTTGGTTTACGTGTCCTCCATTCTCCATGCTTGTGAAATGTGGACCCCTTTAAAGGAAGAACAGCGCTCATTTGAAACATTCAGGTTGACCTATCCATGATATATCCTGGGTTTAATCAGATGGCATTGTGTGTGAGGAGCTCACAGAACCTTGAAATAGCTGTACACGGTGCCATCGGTGAGCTCCTCTGGCAGGTGAGGTTGTGTTAGCTGGGTCATGTAGCCCGCATGCCCAACCACCGCATGCCCAAGCAGCTTCTGTTTGGCTGGATAGAGGGGGCTAAACGGGCACGGTACGGGCGAGTGAAGAGATGGACTGATGTGTTAAACAAGGATGCTGAACTGAGTGGATTTGCTGGTGACTGGTACCAGTGGTGTCAAGACCGAACTGTGTAGGGAGGCTCGTGAAGGCCGCTACTGGGCAGTTGGAGGCAGTCGCCCTCCAACAACAACGGAGGGCGGAGGAGCGACGCTCACAACAACGAGCGCAGCGCCGGGTGGCTAAAACGCAGCGAGTTGGCACAGTGAGGAGCACAGGTGGTGCATCTGCCAGCCATCTCAGTCAATCAACCCATGGCATCTGGGTCTGTCCCGTAACCTGCGAGCCGAGCAATCCTTCTGCACTTGACAGCCTCAATGATGACGACAGCAACATGACAGCCTCAATGATGACAACAAGAACAACATGACAGCCTCAAAGTGCGCCAGGCACAGGCACCTTGGCGACGTCACCGCCACTTAGGCGAATGGCGGCTGTTGTTGTTGTCATCCTGTGTCTGTGCATCTCAAGCGACATTTCGTTGTTCGTGCGTATACGTTGCCCTCCGTGCCTTTGCTGGGTAATTTGGGGGGGGTGCTACAGTGGCGAGATGTTAATTCCATCGCCTGGTAGGCAGGAGGTCGTGGGTTCGATCCCGATCCTGATGCCTGCTGTATATTTCGAGTTTGCGTGTCTTTTTCTCCCCGTGGTCACGTGGATTTTTCTGCGGGTTCTCGGGTTTTTCCCCCGCGCCATTTAGAATAAACATCCCTTTAGAGTATTTGGCCGCTATAAATGTCCACGCGGCGATAAGCCACTTCAATGAGCTATTGTTTGTGGTAGGCAGATCGCTTCTGAAAAAGAGCTACGTAGCTCAGTGGGCCATTACCTGGTAAAATACTAAAAAGCTAAATTATTATAATCTATTCTTTCGTTCTTGACTCATCCCGACCCGCTGTTCTCTCATTCCTTCGTCCCGTGACCTCCCCCCTCCTGACCCCCGGCAGCTCGTGCCATGCGGCCGGTGGGGGCCTCTCCGCCGGTGGGCACGGAGTGGCCCCCGGGGCAGGGAGCGGAGGTGGGGGCCACCACTGTGACGGCCGTCAAGAACAGCACCATGCCGGGCGGCACGCAGAGAGGTAACGCGGCGGCGCTGTGTTACAACTCAAGCGGACTGCGACCATCTTGTATAGATTTTAGCCAATCAAAAGAAAGGTGGGGCATGTCACATGATGCTCGTACCATACAATGGGAATGCTCGATCCACGGATGTATTGGCAATGAATCTGGGTGGCTGCCGAACCAACTGAAAAGAATCGATGCAATTAACCTCGATTCACAATCCTCGATAACATACATTGGCAAAGACATGCACCTTCGGGCAAAACCACGCCTACTTTCTTCCGTAAACATGCATTCCTTGACATACGCGATAGATGCGTTCCTGGAAAAGCGCGCGCATCTCAAAATCGCGTATGTGAAAAGCAATTTCCCTCTAAATAATAGTAAAGGAGGGGGGGTTAGGGGACTTCATTCATACTCACAGACATAATCGCCTATTTTTTCCTAGCCTATATCAATACAATACAAGTGCATGAAATATAATACTTTAATACAAAAAAAAATCACTTACACTCTAATTACTTGCAAGCACGCCGGAGTTGCGCTGCGGAGAGGATGGATAGAGAAGCGGCGAGATGCTGCACAGTACAGGAAAGCGCGCCGGCTTTCGTACCGCACTCGCCGCTGGCAACTCCATTGGGTGGCGGTGCCAGGCTAGGGGTGGCGCGTGCGTCGCGTCGCCGGTGACGTCGTCTCGAAAATCGCCTGGCGTATGTCAGTACAAGGGTGGAAAGACAATGCGCGCCGCAGTATTTGAAAATTTGGCCGACCGCAAAAGCGCGTAAACCGAGGATTGCCTGCATGGGAAAATCTCCGGTCGGTGATTTCGTTTTAAAATACGACAGCGCGCCACCCCAGCCGTCACCCTCCAGGGATTGTCATCGTCGATGCCGCTGTCGTTGTGGACATCTGTGAACTACTGGACGTCTGTGCAAAAGAGCTTTACGGCTCGCCGGATTCCTTCAGTGTTAATAAATATTCCGATTCTGTTGTCGCCGTCATCGTTGTTTTGTTATCATCGTTGCCGTTCTTGTTTAGGTGTCATTGTTTTAGTTGTTATTGTTGTTTTTTTGTCGGCGGCATTCTTGTTGTCGTTATCATTGTCGTCATCATCATTGTTGTCTGGTCCTAGTGTTTCCCCTAGGTCGACCCAGCCTTAAACGAGTACCATTTATCTTGTGTAATCATCAGCACTGTAGACAAAGGTCGTGCTGGACACTGCCCCCCCCACCCCCCCATGTGCTGTACCATCCTTCACTCACAGGTGTTCACTAAAAGCACTTGCCCCGACAGTCACTTGAGGCTACATGGGTGATCTTTGCCTCTGTCCTGCAGAGCTGGTGCTCGTGTCCACGCTGGTGCCGGTGTGTGTCGTCCTCGTTGCTGTGCTCCTCGTCCTGTCCTTCATCTGCGCCAAGAGGAGGCGCGACCGCGGACGGTGAGACACGGCGCCTCGTTAGTCGCCCGCCTCTTTAGTCGTCCACCTTAATAGTAGAGCGAGAGGGAGAGAGGGGATGACTCGGAGGCGCCAAAACGAGGAGCCACAGACGAGGAGCAGGAAGGCAGCAGCAGCAGCCAGGTGGCAAGGAGCCGGCACCAAATTCCCTCCCAAGCTCTGCGGTCCTCTATATATAAAGTTGTTATTGGCCCATTAATGAGCGGTTTACATGTGTTATGACGACTTGCACACTTCTCTTGAGATGGCACTTTATTGAAGACACGTTCACTTGACATCAGGCGGAGATCCCACTGCAACAGCCCCGAGTCTCTCGCACATCTCCCCCTTATATACCGACACGAGGCCACGCCCCCCTTCTCGATCATTCTCGCTGACTCTGGACGCTCGCTCCACCGGCAGACTCCACCGTCCTCTTCCGTCGCCTGACCACGCTCCCTTCTCGAACATTCCCGTGACCACCAGTCCCTTCGCACTCACAACTGCCTCCCCTGTCATTACCTCCCGTGGCCACCAGTCCCTTCACACTCACAACTGACTCCCCTGTCATTACCTCCCGTGGCCACCAGTCCCTTCACACTCACAGTTGACTCCCCTGTCATTACCTGCCGTGGCCACCAGTCCCTTCACACTCACAACTGACTCCCCTGTCATTACCTCCCGTGGCCACTAGTCCCTTCACACACACAACTGACTCCCCTGTCATTACCTCCCGTGGCCACCAGTCCCTTCGCACTCACAGCTGACTCCCCTGTCATTACCTCCGGTGGCCACCAGTCCCTTCGCACTCACAGCTGACTCCCCTGTCATTACCTCCCGTGGCCACCAGTCCCTTCGCACTCACAACTGACTCCCCTGTCATTACCTCCCGTGGCCACTAGTCCCCTCACGCCACATGCAGGCTCTATTGTCACGAGACGTGTGAGAGGAAACTGGAGTACCCAGAGGGGGAAACACTCTATCCCACACAGATGGAACAGGTGGGAGTCTTACATTTGCCGTACCGCCTTCTCCTGGCGAGCCAGGGTAGGGGGCTCCTCCTCGATGCACGCCCACGGAAAAGGAGTTTTCGCAACGTTTGTGCGGTGATCCGCCAACCCTCTCTGCTGCTCCCTCCACAGTCCCGGGTCACACACAGAGCCACCACCACCACCCGTTGTGCCGACGTGGCAGACTATAATTTTGTGCAAAATCGACTTAAAATATCCCGACGTCTTAGCCGCGGCGGCCGAGGGTTCACATCATGGAGCGAGATTTAAGACGCCCAGTTGCTTGTGGTGTTGCATTCTGCGAGAGCTGGCGGTAGAAATTCCACATAATTATGGCAGGGACACTCCACAAACACGGGTCTAGTCATTAGACGGCCAACACTGTTGTTTTCATGAAAATAATAATATAAAATAAATGAGACTGTTTATGTAGCTGCTTTTGAATATTTTTGGGTCTATGTGTGAGTCTGTTGGTCTCTGTGTAGGTCTGCGGGTCTCTGTGTAATCTGTGGGTCTCTGTGTAAGTCTTTTGGTCTCTGTGTAGGTCTGCGGGTCTCTGTGTGAATCTGTGGGTCTCTGTGTGAGTCTGTTGGTCTCTGTGTCGGTCTTTGGGTCTCGGTGTGTAGGTGTTCAGCGTGTCATCGAGGTTGTGTTGTTGAACTGTTTGTTTTGCCGGACTGTGTTGGCAGGAAGGACGCCGGGCCCGCATACAGCCTGCCCTGCACTCCGGGCCAGACAGGTGAGAGCGCAGGGCAGATCGGGGCAGCCCTGAGCATCCCTGGGCATCTCTTGGCAGCCCTGGGCAGTCCTGGGCAGTCCTGGGCAGCCTGGCACAGCACGGGGCAGCCTGGGGTACCTTGGGGCAGCACGGGGCAGCACGGGGCAACACTGGTCAGCACGGGGCAGCACGGGGTAGCACGGGCACTATGATACGTATCGTACAATATCACAACGTCCAATAGCTGTTCCTCCTCATGAGAGTGATGATTATTGAAGAGTGTGCATACTTCCACCTCTTCCGAATACGGCTAGTGTGGAAGAGTAGACCTAAACACCCGGTTAGAGGGACTCCCCTAGAGCGGCCTCAAGTGGAGGCCTCTTTTGTCAGCAGTGGCGTGAGCGAGCAATTGCACAGGCTGCGCCTTTACCTTCAACGACAACTCCTGTTGCTGCGTGGAACCTCTCTCTCTCTCTCCTCCTTCCCCATCCTCCCCCACACCTCCCCCGCTTCCCCCACTCCCCCCCACTCTCCCCCACTCCCCCCCACCCTCCCCCACGTGCCCCCCCCCTCCCCGCGCCCCCCCCCCCCAGGCTGGTTCAAAGGCCTCCAGCAGGTGTTCCCGCGGGAGGGGCGGGGGCGGGGGGGAGGCGGCCTCCACGGAGCCGACTCCTCCCTCAACGTCCGCTACAGCAGCGACGCGCACCGGGGCCCAGCGGCGCGCAAGCACAGCGTGCCCGGTAACACGCCGGCTGTAGCCGTGGGGACAGCACACCGGCTGTAGCCGTGGGAACAGCACGCCAGCTGTAGCCGTGGGGACAGCACGCCGGTTGTAGCCGTGGGGACAGCACGCCGGCTGTAGCCGTGGGGACAGCACGCCGGCTGTAGCCGTGGGAACAGCACGCCGGCTGTAGCCGTGGGGACAGCACGCCGGGTGTAGCCGTGGGGACAGCACGCCGGCTGTAGCCGTGGGAACAGCACGCCGGCTGTAGCCGTGGGGACAGCACGCCGGCTGTAACCGTGGGAACAGCACGCCGGCTGTAGCCGTGGGAACAGCACGCCGGCTGTAGCCGTGGGAACAGTACGCTGGCTGTAGCCGTGGGAACAGCACGCCGGCTGTAGCCGTGGGGACAGCACGCCGGCTGTAGCCGTGGGGACAGCACGCCGGCTGTAGCCGTGGGAACAGCACGCCGGCTGTAGCCGTGGGAACAGCACGCCAGCTGTAGCCGAGGGGACAGTACGCCGGCTGTAGCCGTGGGGACAGCATGCCGGCTGTAACCGTGGGGACAGTACGCCGGCTGTAGCCGAGGGGACAGCACGCCGGCTGTAGCCGTGGAGACAGCACGCCGGCTGTAGCCGTGGGGGACCGTACGCCGGCAATAGCCGTGGGGACAGCACGCCGGCTGTAGCCGTGGAGATAGCACGCCGGCTGTAGCCGTGGGGACAGCACGCCGGCTGTCGTCGTGGGGAACAGCACGCCGGCGGTAGCCGTGGGAACAGCACGCCGGCTGTAGCGGTGGGGACAGCACGCCTGGCGGTAGCCGTGGGGACAGCACGCCGGCTGTAGCCGTGGGGACAGCACGCCGGCTGTAGCCGTGGGAACAGCACGCCAGCTGTAGCCGAGGGGACAGTACGCCGGCTGTAGCCGTGGGGACAGCATGCCGGCTGTAACCGTGGGGACAGTACGCCGGCTGTAGCCGAGGGGACAGTACGCCGGCTGTAGCCGTGGAGATAGCACGCCGGCTGTAGCCGTGGGGACAGCACGCCGGCTGTCGTCGTGGGGAACCGCACGCCGGCGGTAGCCGTGGGAACAGCACGCCGGCTGTAGCGGTGGGGACAGCACGCCTGCTGTAGCCGTGGGGACAGTACGCCGGCTGTAGCCGAGGGGACAGTACGCCGGCTGTAGCCGTGGAGATAGCACGCCGGCTGTAGCCGTGGGGACAGCACGCCGGCTGTCGTCGTGGGGAACCGCACGCCGGCGGTAGCCGTGGGAACAGCACGCCGGCTGTAGCGGTGGGGACAGCACGCCGGCGGTAGCCGTGGGGACAGCACGCCGGCTGTAGCCGTGGGGACAGCACGCCGGCTGTAGCCGTGGGAACAGCACGCCAGCTGTAGCCGAGGGGACAGTACGCCGGCTGTAGCCGTGGGGACAGCATGCCGGCTGTAACCGTGGGGACAGTACGCCGGCTGTAGCCGAGGGGACAGCACGCCGGCTGTAGCCGAAGAGATAGGACACGAGCTGCAGCTATGATAGCTCAGAGCTCAGATTTGTCCAACAGCATCTCTCTCCCACCTGCCTCCCATCTTCACACGCCAATCGCTTTTGTTAAAATCTGTTTTTTTGTGTTACCAGTAACCACGTAAAGAAACCAGTGCGTAGCTGTTTGCCGCACGTTTAGATATGTCCGGAGCAATAAGCGCAACGTTTCTCGCTTATTGGCTCAGAAACGGTCAGCGCACTGAATTTTCAATCCAGAAATCACCAGTTTCATTCAATCTCTCGGTGCGGCAATTAAAACAACAGTGCAAGTTTTCTTTCATCGATTCTGAAAACGGTTACCGGCCTGGGGCCTGGATTGGAAACCACTGGCAGTCTCAAGCCCTATCAAACCTCCCTTAACCTCTCACCTCTCTCTTAACCTCTCCTCCCTCCCGCACAGAGTACCAGCCGCTGGTGCTGGGCGGCTCCGAGCTGGCACGGGCAGGGAAGGCCTCCACATTCCGGCCAACTCGCGACTACGAAGAACCGGAGCAATCACCGGGGGGCGGCGGCGGCAGCGGCGGCCTTCCTCACCCGCCGCCTCCCCTCACCCTCCCTCCCATCCCGGCGGCGCCAGTGCCGGGAGCGCCGCCCTCGCCATCGTCGTCCATCGCGACCTCCCCTTCCCCGGCCGCCTACGACACCATCGGGGCGTACGACGACTCGCCGGCGCGCTATGCCTCGCCGCTCTCCTCCCCCGCCGCTCCGGCGCTCCACCTGTACGCCGAGCCGGTGCCGGCGCAGGTCCCCGAGTACGCGATGCCAATCGGGTTCACGCTCGACCCTGTGCGAGCGTTTCCCGTGGCCTACGACACGCCGAGAAGCCCGCGCAGGGCCGAGCAGGCACCGGGGCGGCCAAGTTTCAGCCAGTCGGCATCGGGGATCGGCGGTCCCAGCGGCGACGGTGGTACGGTGTACGACACACCCAGGGCCGTACGACGGAACGCGACGCGCGGAAACGTTGACGCCGGTGATGCCGGCGGGGTGGAGGGGGGCGGCAGTTGAGCGGAGGTGGCCGTCGTGATTGGTCGATGCCGTGCTGTACGGTGCGCGTGGGCCGACGTGATTGGTCGACGCTGGGTCACACGGCGTCTGTGGGACGACACGATTGGCCGACTTGTCGCGTGGTAGCACAGGAGGAATGAGGATGCGCGCTGTTTATGTGAATGTAATGTCGGTTGGAATTGTTCTACGTTTTAAGTTTTAGATTTTTTCACGCGTGTCGATTTTACATTTTTTTCACTTCAATTATAATTTATATTTTGCGACGTTTTATTTTTTTCGTACATTCGTACTTTTTTTGCGCGTTTGTGAAGTATTTATATATTTCTTTCGTTTGTTTAAATTTTATTTCGCGTGGATTTATTTCTTCGGAACACGTGCAAATTTCTACAATTGTTTTCATTATTATTATTTATGTTTTGTTTCGTCGTTTTCCAACATCAAGTTTTTACTCGACTGGGCGATAATTTGTTTTTGCGCGCTGAAGGCATTGTGGGTAGAATAACGATGGGCACTCCACCCCACACATCTGTGACGATGAAGATGATGAAGGAGATAGCGCCCCCACCCGCGTGGATTTTTGTCGTTGTGTTTGTACAGGGTTTGATACGGAGAGAGTTTTTACACTGTGTTGAGTGTGCATGATCGTTTTGAATAGGCATAATCATCATAATTCATAGGCGTTTGCAATAATTACCTATACTGTATATAAGCGGGCAAGAGACGACCAAGCCCCCGGCGCAATCCGTAGTGGCGTGTACTGTTAGCGAGCGCCCGTTGTGTCCGGCACGGCTTGTGCCGTGGCTGGTTGGTTCGTACTGCGCCTGGACAATGTTCGCACGGCTCACTGGGTACTCAATTTAGGCCGAGTTGACCTAGGGGGAGGACCAGTGTGCTTAATGGATTGTAGCAAAGTATGTCAAACCACTACACCGTCTCTCTCGCATACACACACGCCGCACAAAGACAAAGACCACCCGTATAGCCTTAACAGACTTTTAGGGAAAGTGCTCTTAGTGAGCACCTAAGAAGGCTGGCACGGCACACGAGGGGGTGGTGTGGCTAGCACCACGCCCAGCCGCCTTTGTCTCCCCAGTGCTGATGTTTACACACAACACCAGGTACTCATTTAAGGCCGAGTCGACCTAGGGCAAGCCCAGGACCGGCTCAGATATTACTGATGTTGGCTGTGAGCACATTGCCGCACGAAGACATACAACCGCAAAAAAGCTTTCACAAAAATCACGACATACATGAGCAGAGTTGCATGGGGAGGCAACTCTGCTGATGATTGGGTGAAGCTAACGACCAATCGCCAGGCTGCGTTGTCAGCGATTCGCAAGCACAAGTGTGTACAGCAACAGCAACCCTCGCACGTCCATCACGAACGCAATTACAACGCGGATTTATGGCAGTGTCTGACATGTGACCCCATTTGAGGATGCGACACGGAAGTTGTGGGCATAGTTTGTGTGGCGATGGAGGCAGTCGGTCATCGGGTCTCTTTGGCGGCCTATGGATCTGTTTGTGTCTGTGTGTGAACACATGGGTCTCTGTGGGAACTTCACATAGCGGCTTATGAACGCTGCGACCGCATCTCGAACCGATTTACGGGGAACGGCGGGGCGTATTTATTTTATCGAGTGGGGGAGGCAGGCAGTCAAAGCGCAGAGGAGAAGAGGATAGTCTTGAGCCTGGAATTGAACTGGGCAGGGAGTCGACAGCACGGGAGGCTGGGGGAAGGGGCGAGTAACCCGACTCTAAAGGGGCAACAGAGAAGAATGAGCGACCTCCCAGTGACCTTACAGGGAAAATAATGAACAGGCTGACGTTTCGGGCAATGGCCCATGTTCAGAGGAGCAGAGTGAGAGGGGCGGCCAGATTGACCGAGTTGCAGGTGGAGAATGAAATGTACACTGCGTTTAAAAAATACAACTTTTAATCGGGTTGATTTGAAAGTTTGAAGACGGGGGAAGTTTTCAGTCGGTGCGTAATCACCTGCCTTGAGCGTAGAGGTGACCAACCACGAAGGGCTGGCGAATACAAAGGAAGGAGAATCTCAAAAGTGCGCGGAGGAGCTTGGAGAGTCACTGAGAGGGACGGAGAGAGGGAACGTGCATGGGTGAGAGGATGCCTGGGTGAGAGGGTGTCCCTAGGAGAGGGCTGCGATGGCTGGTAGTTGGCAGCCAAGGGAGGGAACGCGCCGGAGAGGGGACATCTGCCGTGGAGATGGAGCCGTGTGAGGTCTACTCTCGACGGATCGTGACGTCTTAGGGCTGTGAGGGATGGCGACGGCTTGGAGAGGCCTTCATCCAGCTGATGATGAAGATGACGGACGGTTTTATTTTGATGTATGAGAAGTGTTTATCGTGGGTCAATGCAACTGAAATGTCTCATCGGATAATTATCCGAGCAAGGATTTTGCCAATGAAAGTGAAGATTTGTTTTGCGTGGCGTCATTGGTAACCGGGCTGAGACCCATGAACTCTCTGCACTTGAGAACGAAGTTGAATCACGGCCCCGTCTATGTGAGCCCAAAGGTCTCTATGACCGTCACAGAAGATGGGGCTGAGTCCATCCACTCGCTGTACTCGAGTACCCGGTGTAATCACAGCGGTTGGGCGACAGGAACTCAGATCTGGTACCCTGGTTCTCGTAGCCGGTGCTGGTACTGCGTTTCCGACACGGCCATTATGAACCGAGCCCTCCCGAGCTACCCAGCCGCCTCTACTGCTGTGATTATTTTTTAATGTTGTTTCATTTGTTTTCTTTCCCCACAGAGAATATTCCTGCACAGTTTGTTTTCGTACGTATCCTTCACGACGTATTTATTTTCATGGGTTTATCCGTTTCAACTTGTGCGGTGATTGTCACATTGCGTTGACCCCGCGGTGGCGTGGCGACGTTGCCGACTTGAAATCCGCGTCCCGTTACCGACTCTGCTTTGTGATTCATTTAGAGACCGGTAGCGTTTATAAACATTCAGTACATTGGGGGGGGGGGGGGCGGTGAGTTAGCGTACCGCACCATGAACCCAACGATGACACCAGCGGCACGAGTACAGCTTCGCGATGGTGTTGTTGGGGGGGTCGTTACCGCGCGCGTCGTTCGGCACGACGTCCGACGTTTCATCGGTTCCTAAAAGAAGCTGCCAGCGCGCGTGGAGCGGAACGTTGGACGCGGCGCCCGAAAGACGCCCGCGCGGCACGGAGAGACGCGCGGCGACGGCCGAGAAAAACCGCCCGGTCACTGTCGGGGCTGAGTTGAGTGACATCTCAACCGGTCATCGCCCCCCACCCCCCTCTCACTTTGTCAACCCGCATTGTCCGGTGCGCTGAAGTATGGTCAGCGAACCAACCCCCCCCCACCCCGTGACTGACAGAGCAATGGCGAAGCTTTCATCCAGCAGTGGACTGACGACGGGCTGTAAGTTATTAGTATTATTTTGTTGAATATTATTATCGCCTAACATTGGTACGATGGCCTTTGAAGTGTTTTATTGTTTTGAAAGGTGTTGCTTGAAAGTTTTGTTGTGTTTTGTATTTTTACAACAACTTAAGAAATCGTCTTTTAGTCTTGGTCGCGGATGAATGCGGTTCGTAGTTTTTTTTTTCCCTCCTCCGTTTTGTGAAGAAAATTTGCTTAGAACTACTGTATCACCGACTCAAACGTTGCAAGTCTTGTCAACACTCACTCTGCGGGGGTGGGCGGGGGGCGACGCAGATCCCCTTCTTCATGACGAGGAACTGCGGGAGGTGGCCCTCGCCAGCATTCGGATGCAGAGGGCGTTGCAGAACGTGCGCTGTTTAAACCCAAACAACGTGAAGAGCGAACGAAGGGCGAAAGTGGTGACACCGAATGGAGCGTTCGGAGCGGGGCGACGATCAACCGTTTGGGTCTCACGGTGGGATTGGTGCTACGGGGCCGGTTGACTCGTGTAGACAATTTAACACGTAGGCTTTCGCGAACAATTTAACAGGCGCTGGAGTTTCATTCCTCTATATATCTAAATCGGCTCAAGCCTTCAGTAAAATCACGTGGCCACTACCACTCTGAATCCGTGTCTCTCTTTCCCCGCCCACTGTCAAAACGGGCATTTTCACGCGCAGCTCATTTCTGCTTTTTTTTCTGCCTGGCTTTAGACCACCACAGTGTAGGGGGAACCGCGTCCGTACGTGGGGTGGGCTTGCCACTTTCGGATGCCTTCAGCAGAGCCACACATTAACGCTCGCCTCGATAACAATCAAACAGTAGCATGAGTATTCTTGGTTCTTTCGGTAAAGTCACGTAGAAGGGAAATAATAAAATAATTTAAATATTAAACAATAAAAATGTAATCAATTTAGTAGCATGAGTCTCTAGCAGTGTCGGGAATGATCGAGAATGATAGATTTCACGCGAGTTTGCGATTACTGCGGCTACGATGCAGGGAGAGGTAAATTATAATAAGTATAACCCGTAAAAACAAAGTTTTTCACTATAAATCCTTTATATGCGTGGCGGCTAGAGTCCTCTCGTCCTCTGGCTTGAGATGGCTGCCACCTATGGGTCAGATGATTGCATTGCACCATTAAGCAATTGGTAATTAAATATAATATTTTTGTCCTAAAAAGTGTAACATTTTGGAAAAAAAATTTCACGAACATTCATTGTCACGCACAACGAGTCTGTGTGCAAAATGTCAGCTCGATTGGATCACGGGAAGTGGGTTAAAAACGACCGAAAGATTTGCACGGTCCTAAGCAAGCAAGCGAACTTAATATTAAGGATTTAAAAATTATCCGCGGGCCATTTCAAAGTTTTCGGCTTCACGTGGTTGTGATCGGATTGTCGCGAGATTAAACGCGAACATACTTCTCATTGGGCCTAGGCTATATCGGCACTGCAGTTCACTGAAATAAAGTTCAACGCTGAGTTCTTGGTACAAATCAATTCCTAGCCCCCTCTCCCCCAACAGATGTCAGTTTCTGGACGGGTGTCAACCCAAAAGCCCATAGGTCTAATGAAATGAAGTCGTGACCCATGGGACCCCTCCTCCCTTGGCTGTCGTAGCCTTCGACAAGATTGTCATCTTGTCTTGGATTAACCCTGGGCGCTGGGCCAATTAATATTTCATCCAGGACTTTGCAATAGCGGTTAGACCGACTTTAATTCTGATCCTGGTTTTAACCTCGACTTAGACGAGGTCTCGTCAATCTGATCCTGGTATAACCTTGATTTTAGCCTGGGTTTTGCGTGGTTGTGGTTTATAGTTTGGTATTAAGTCCGCCAGATCTTGGCATGAGCCGTGCCTGGCACAGACCTCTCTGGCTGTTTGTAATGTGGGGAATGTGGGGTTTGATGCTGAATAAACTTTCCATTTCTTCCAACGTCTCCGACATTTGTCTCATTATTGTTGCTGGCGTCATAGTTATTTATCAAATTCCATGATACGGGGCTGGGCGGGAGTGGTGGCGCTGTGGTTACCACACTGTTTTTGTGGAAGCTGTGTTGGCCTGAATGTGATTCCCGATCATCAAGAGTTGAAGCAATGTTGGTTCAGTGTGCAGTTTGCGCCGTTTTGATCTCTAGCCACGGCAGTCGAAGCAATGGAGCAAGTGTCCCCCCCCCCCCATGGCTTCACCACAACCCATCGGCATGTCCCGTGTGGTGGGGTAAAGTGTGGGTACTCTCCCACCTTGCCCAGGACGTCTCGCCAGCGTGGGAGAGTAGGCCAAAACACACTCGGGAGGGGATGCTCTAGGGCAGTGGTCTTCATTGCAAGGCCCGTCAACCCCCCCCCCCCCCCCCAATTGTTTTAAACGTGTAGCGGCAACCTCACTCACACTGATGATGTCTTATCGGCGAAAGTGGGCCCCCCTTCCCCTCTGAAAATTAGCGAAGAACCACCGCTCTAGAGCTCCCTTTAGAATAGGCCCCTTCCACCAAGAGTGATGAGAGATGAGCAATTTCAGGGCTGCTCCTTTATCTTTCTCTTCTGGTGGAAAAATGTTGCCTCAATGTACGGATTTCTTCGTCGCAACTTCACGGAGTTAATATTGTCCACGCAGTTTTTTGTTTGTAAGCGCCATCCCAACGTTGCGTCAATGTTGGCACGTGTGCTGGGATATTCTCATGCGCCCTCTACATTAACACAAAAATAATCAGCTGCGTTGTAGAGAATATAAGTAACGCAATGAATTATAGGCCTCTTTCACAAACTTATATTTGTATACAGTATTCACATTGGAATAAAAAATAACACAAGTACTTTTTTTTTTACACATCCCGTTAGCCACAGCAGCCAGAATTGAGGCTCGCTTTAGTTTGTCTCAATGAGTATTCCCAGTGGGAAAGGAGAGGCGTTGAGAGGGGGACGGGGGCTGGGGGAAGGGGTTGGGAAGTGGAGGCGGGTTTGGGGGATGGGAGGCGGGGATTTGGGTGGTTTGGGGGAGAGGGTTTGGGGGGAGGGGGTAGCGGGTTTGGGGGGAAGGGGCGGGTTTGGGGGGGTAGGGGCGGGTTTGGGGTGGGTGGGGGCGGGTTGGGGGGGTGGAGGGGGGGCGGGTTTGGGGGGGTGGGGGGCGGGTTGGTGGGGGGCGGGTTGGGGGGGGTGGGGGCGGGTTGGGGGGGTGGAGGGGGTGGCGGGTTTGGGGGGGTGGGGCGGGTTTGGGGGGGTGGGGGGGGGGGTGTTGGGGGGGGGGCGGGTTTGTGGGGGGGGGGGGCGGGTTTTTGGGGGTGGAGGGGGGGGCGGGTTTGTGGGGGGGGGGGGCGGGTTGGGGGGGGGGGGGCGGGTTTGGGGGGGGGGGGGGGGGTTGGGGGGGGGGGCGGGTTTGGGGGGGGGGGGGGGGGGCGGGTTTGGGGGGGGGGGCGGGTTTGGGGGGGGGGGGCGGGTTGGGGGGGGGGGGGGGTTGGGGGGGGGGGGGGTTTGGGGGGGGGGGGCGGGTTTGGGGGGGGGGGGGGCGGGTTGTGGGGGGGGGGGGGGGGGGGTTTGGGGGGGGGGGGGGCGGGTTTTGGGGGGGGGGGGGGGCGGGTTTGGGGGGGGGGGGGGCGGGTTGGGGGGGGGGGGGTTTGTGGGGGGGGGGGGGGCGGGTTGGGGGGGTGGGGGGCGGGTTTGTGGGGGGGGGGGGGTTTGGGGGTGGAGGGGGGGGCGGGTTTGGGGGGGGGGGCGGGTTGGGGGGGGGTGGCGGGTTTGGGGGTGGAGGGGGGGTGGCGGGTTGGGGGTGGAGGGGGGGGCGGGTTTGGGGAGGGAGGGGGGTGGCGGGTTTGGCGGTGGAGGGGGGGCGGGTTTTGGGGTGGAGGGGGGGCGGGTTTGGGGGGGGAGGGGGGGCGGGTTTGGGGGGGGAGGGGGGGGGCGGGTTTGGGGGTGGAGGGGGGGGCGGGTTTGGGGAGGGAGGGGTGGCGGGTTTGGCGGTGGAGGGGGGGGGCGGGTTTGGGGGTGGAGGGGGGGGCGGGTTTGGGGGTGGAGGGGGGGCGGGTTTGGGGAGGGAGGGGGGGGCGGGTTTGGGGGTGGAGGGGGGGGCGGGTTTGGGGAGGGAGGGGGTGGCGGGTTTGGCGGTGGAGGGGGGGGCGGGTTTGGGGGGGTGGGGGCGGGTTTGGGGTGAGAGGGAGAGATGGGAGTGTGGGCAGTTGGGACCACGTGACCGTCATGGCGGCCAGGGAGATGTCGCCTATCGAGCCGGAGCAACGGCCAGGTAAGCGCTTACCCAGATCAAACCCGAACCCTCACCCCAGCTGGCTTGCCGGCCACAGCGGCCAGGGACCTCAAGACGCTGGGGACTCGGCGCCCGAGACGGGAGTTTCGAGTTTCGTGCCTGTAAAGATAGTTTAGGCCAGCGGCCTAGGCGGAGGGGTCGGAGCCTACGGTCTATCCTGAATCGTAGGCCGGGGAAGGTGATGATTTACTCGGCCGAGATGCGCTTCTACGACACCTGCCCCTCCTCACCCTCCCATCGGTTGACATTGTTTTCATAGTTTATTCATGTTTTGATTGGCAGGGTGGTAAGCAAGTCTCTGCAGAGTTTTCGTGAAATTGTTTGATTTTGTTTTGGACGTTAGCAGGATGTGTGACATAGAGCAATATGTACTGTTTTGCTTTGGGCTATATGTGTAAATACAAAAATGACGTTCGCTTTATTTTTTGGCAAAGATGCTCGTTTTGGTAACGTGGTTAATCGTGCGAAGTCTTTATTGTAAGAGAACGTACGTTATAGGTTGCCATGGTAACGGCGTGAAGATGCCAAGTTGCGCTACTGGGTTGTCGTAGTTAATGGCTGCGGTCTTTGCAAGTATTCCAATTAAGTGGCGTGTGTGTGTGTATTCAGTGTGTGTATATTGACTAAATTATTAATTGAGCACCTGGTGCAAGGTGTAAATCATCAACCCTGTGGAGGCAAAAGTGACCGTGCACGGTGCTGACCACATCATCATGTTCCACAACTCCACCCCGTTTAACTGTCTATTAGGCTATATGCATATGATCTCTGGTATATGGTGTGCGTGTCTGTGTTTGTATGATCTTGTATACCAAAAAGTATCGTTGCATGGGACCAAATGCTCTAAGATTATCCTTGTGTAGTCTGAACCTCTTGGCACATCCGTTCTCCTCTCTTCACCTCCGCAACCTCCCATCTTACCCTCGGGTTATCCCTACTCCTTCTGCACTGCACCGATGGCATCTCTATCGCTAAACGGGCACGACATGGGCTGTAGAAGAGATGGAGTGATGTGGTACAAGAGGACGTGGAGCTGAGTGGACTTGGCGATGACTGGTACCAGCGGTGTCAAGATCGGCCTCTATGGAGGAGGCTTGTGAAAGACGCTACTGAGCAGTTGAAGGCAGTCGCCTTCTAACAACTGAGGGCAGAGGAGCGACGCTCACAACAATGAGCTGAGCGCCGGGCGGATAAAATACAGCAAGTTAGCACAGTAGGGGGTACAGCTGGTGCATCTACCAGTCATCTCGGTCAGTCAACCCATGGCACCTGGGTCTGTCCCGTGACCTCCCGTCAGCGAGCCTTCGACACTTCACGTGGCCTCAAAGTGCACCTGGCCTGGCACAGACGCCGTGGTGTTATCACCGTAGTGCAGTGGTTAAGGCACTACGCTATGAACCCGGCTTCCACAGTTTGATTCCTGCTCACGGCCAACACTCGTGATGATTATCTGAACCGGCCCTGGGCATCCCCTAGGTCGACGCAGCCTCAAATTAGTACTTGGTGCAGTGTGTAAACATCGCCACGAGGGAGACAAAGGCAGCCGGGCGTGCTGCTGACCACCCACCTCCTCGTGTCTCTTGTCGGCCTTCATAGGTGCTCGCTAACAGATATACATTGTGGGGAGCGGTGGTGCAGTGGTTAGCACACTGCAAATACCCCAGTTCATTTCCCGATCACGACCAATAACAGTGGCGAATATTCGAAAGGGTCGGTTTGCCACTATATATGCAAGTTTATTTACGTGTATGTGTGTATTGGCACAGTGGGTGGTGCATTTCTAACCTGGTACTTCCTGCCAGTGTGCCTTTTCCACTTCACGTGGCCTCAAAGCGCACCCAGCTTGGCTCAAGCACCATATTGACATTCCGGGAGCTTCATGGCAATTGGCTATTGCTGTCTGTTCACTCGGTGCCAATCGCTGGCTCCTGCTGGTGTACTGTGCGTTTGTCTGCCACCTGAATTTGATACTTGGCCACAGAGTGATATTCGAACTGGTGTTGGGCCTCTCCGAGGGCGGCGACTCGCCCCGAAAATGAGAACCCAGTTGCAGCGTGTAAATAAAAGCAGTGGGCACCAAGGTAGCTTGGTGTTTTGGCCTCACCGCCTCGTGCGTGGTGCAGGCGGTTACTAACAGCAATTCCCCAGCAGTCTGGTTGCATGGGTATATATTTGTTTTGCATTTTCACGTTTATTGCATATGTGTGTGTGTTGTGTGCGTGGTTGGCAGCATTGGCACAATATTTAATGCACTGAGCTAGGATCCCTTCAACTTGAGTTCACTTGATTTGAAGCTTTCGTGACTGCAGGAATGCATCAGCAGCAGACCATGCTTTCCCACCTGATGACGGACTCTTGTGTTGCGCCCGAAACGTCGTGATCTATTTTATTTTATACCTACGTGACTTTACCGAAAGAACCAAAGAGTATTTAGTTCACTTTTCTGCTTCTCCTGGTCTGCTAGTGGTGTTTGGTGTGTGTGTGAAAATCAGGTCTGGGTGAGACGAAAGTGATCATCACCATTAATGATGCTACCTTAATATCTCATAAGTTAGGCAGGTTTCATTTGTGTTAAATGTAAAGTTAACATATACATCCACGGGATAGTACAGCTTGGTTATTTAAAAGGACAGTTTGGCAGGAATATTA